CATCACAAATTGGAGGTCAGACTAATAAATTAGCAAGATCCTGTCTTGCTAAAAAGGGGTGGGATGTGGCTCAGTGGTAGAGGGCCCCAGTACCTCCCAAAGAAGTGTAAATAAGAAAAGAATGAGCCTGGTATGGTGATATATGCTGGTAATCCTAGCCACCCATGAGGCTAAGGCAGGAGGATTGCAAGTTCAAAGGTAGCCTCAGCAATTTAGTGAGGCTCTGAGCAAATTTAGCAAGACCCTGTCTCAAAATACAACATAAATGAGCTGGGGATATGGCTTATTGGCTAAGTGTCTTGGGTTCAATTCTCGGTACAAAAAAAGTATATATATATATATATATTATATATATAATAAATAAAATAAGAAAAGAATGAACAATCACTTTCATAATTTGCATTGTAAAATGTCTAACTTGCTCTGGTTCCATTCCTTTTTGGAAGGGCAGGGTAAGTTGGCTCACATGTTTTGAATAAAGGAAATGTTTTGCTTACAGATTCTTTTAGGGAGGCCACTATAAAGCAGTTTAGGGCTTATGATGATTGCTAGGAAATATTCTTTGTCTTGAACGTTTGAATCCGGAAATTACTTCAGAATAAAATAGTTATTTAGACATGTACATTAGGATATTATCCTTTTCAATATGAAAATTGCTCTTTCAGAATATCAGCATATTTACTGTGCACCTGTATTCAGCACTGTGCACAGCACACAAATCAAAGGTTAAATGAGGCGAACAACAGTGATCAGGATAGGATGTTAGGTTGAGTAGCAAGAATAACATTTTGTATAAGTGAAACTCACAAACATTTATTTTATTTATTTTTATAGTATAGCCTTTGAGTCATCTTCATCATCTTGCCTGGCTGTTCACTAACTTAGCCCATGGCAAGTTGTTTAATATCCATAAGCCTCTCTGCAGTCACTGTGAGTGAGGGTACTAAGGATACCTGCTTGATAGGGCTGTTGGGAGAATTAAATGAGATGCATGAGGAACCTATCCCAGGGCTGGAATATAGGAAGGACTCCAAAATTGGTAGTTGTTATCAAAATCTATGAAAAAATACTCAACATTTTTAGTAATCAGGGAAATGCAAGACAAAACTTGCCTGAGATTTTATCTCACACCAGTTAGAATGGCAGTCATCAAGAATACAAACAATAATGAATTCTGGAGAGGATTTGGAGAAAAAAGGAACATTTGTATACAGTTGGTGGGATTGTGAATTAGTACAGCCACTGTGGAAATCAGTGTGGAGGTTACTCAAAAGACTAGAAATGGAGCCAGGTGCAGTCATACGCCTGTTAATCCCAGCCACTTGGGAGGCTGAGGCAGGAGGATCAAGAATTCAAACCCAGCCTCAGCAACTAGAAATGGAACCAGCATATGATCCAGCTATACTACTCCTCAGTGTTCACCCTGGAGAACTGAAGTCAGCATGTGTACCTATCTATGTTTATAGCAGCACAATTCACAATAGCCAAACTATGAAACTAGCCTAGAATGTCCATCAATGGATGAATGGATAAAGAAAATGTGGTATGTATACACAATGGGTTTTACTCAACTATAAGGAAGAATGAAATATATGTCTTTTATAGGCAAATGGATGGAAGTTGAGACCATTATGTTAAGCGAAATAAGCCAAGGTCAGGGATCATATGTTTTCTTTCATATGTGAAAGCTGGAGAGGAAAAAGGGGAAAAAAGGGAGGAAAGGTGAGAAGAGGATCTGATGAAAATGGAAGGGAGATAGTGGAGTAGAGGAAAGGAACTGGGGGAGGGAGGAGGAGAGTGAAAGGAGATATACTGAGGAATAATATTGGCCATAATATTGCTATATTGTGTGCATATACAAATATGTAACTAGAATCCCACCATATGTAAGCTACAATGTACCAATAAAATATGGGGAAAATGTTATCATAGAAAATTCATATCATAATGTGTTCTCACGATTGACAAACCCAGTTCATCTCATTTATTACAATTTGTGGTAAATTTTCTTCCCCTGGAATCCACACTTTTGAGATTTAAACAGGCTCTGAGGCTGTGTGGTTATAATCTTACTAACGTGATCTGGTGAGCTGAGGCCAGTTGTGGGAAGAGGATCACAGATGCTCTTAGAAGTAGTGTGCCACCAGTGTGGGGTGAGCAGGCTGGTTTTGTTGACAGGAGCTTTGTCTGCCCTGCTGGTTACTTTCTCCTGGAGGTGGAGCAGGTGCTGTTTCAGGGGAAACACCTTGTGATTTTATTTACCCCCTCCTCATGTCTGACCTGGCCCCTCCTCGTTCCCTTGCATTCCATTTTCTGCAGGTGTCTCTTACCTGGAAGTTTTGGTATTTGTTATAAAAACCTATGAACAAAGACAACAATTGAGTCATTTCAACAGTCTGGCTCCTCGTGACTGTAAGTCATCAAGTTGTTATCAACCTCTAGGGAGCTACTTGAAATAACCACAACTTCCTCTATTTTTGCTCCTTTTTCTTCAGTTCTTTTTTTCTTGATTATTAAAAAAAAACCCAAAACAAAAACATAACTGACAGCCACGTAAAAGATGACACACAGTACAAAAATACAAAAAAGAAAAAAACATCCATAATCCTTTGTACAGAAGAAATCACCTGGAAAAATTTGTCGTAATTCCTTATATTTGCTTTCTGTTTATTATTATTATCGTTGTTGTTTTGTTATTGCTAATGTGTGTGTGGTGCTGCAAATTGAACCCAAGTCCTTGTACAAGTTAAGCCATGTGCTCTACCATTGAACTACACCCCAGCCTAATGTGTGTTTTTTATTCTAACATAGCTGAGAACATTCTGTCCATACCATTTAATTTCTCTCTCTCTCTTTTTTTTTTTTTTTTTTTGAATACTAGGAATTGAACGCAGGAATGCTTTATCATTCAAATACATCCCCAGACTTTTTAATTTTTTAAATTTTTTGGTACTGAGGATTGAACTCAGGGGCACTTGACCACTGAGCCACACACCCAGCCCTGTTTTGTATTTTATTTAGAGACAGGATCTCACTGAGTTGTTTAGCGCCTCGCCATTGCTGAGGCTGGCTTTGATCTTGCAATCCTCCTGCCTCAACCTCCCAAGTTGCTGGGATTACAGGCATGTGCCACCATGCCTAGCTTCCTTTTTATTTTTTTATATTTATGTTTAAGTTGTAGTTGGACACAATACCTTTATTTTATTTATTTTTTATGTGGTGCTGAGGATGGAACCCAGGGCCTCGCACGTGCTAGGCAAACGATCCACCGATCCACCGCTGAGCCAAAACCTGAGCCCTCCTTTTTATTTTTTGAGACAAAATCTCACTAAGTTATTCAGGCTGGGCTTAAACTTGTGAACCTCCAGCCTTAGCCTCCTGAGTAGCTGGAATTATAGGTATATTATGCCATTGTACCTGGCTTAATCTTGATTTTTTTTTTACCTTTGATTATAAACATTTCACCTTGTTAAAATAATGTTTTCATTTTAATGGCTCTGTAATGGCTCTCCATGTGGTTTCAGTTGCTATTTTGTCAGGACCTTTTGTTGCACTGGTCCCCTCAATCCACAGGACCCACTGCCACCAGCCCCTCTGGTCCTATCCTCACACACTTCATGGTGGTGCCCAAGCTTAGGCTCTCCAAGGTACTTCTTTTCGGGTTACACCCATCAGTCCTGGGACCTGTATCCCTCTGTGACATCTGTGCCAGGGTGACAAAATCCAGTGGAAACTCTTACCAGTCAGGATACTCCTCTCATTCTTGGTGGGTAACAGGACCTTGGTATCCTTTCCTGAGAGCAGACCTTAGTTGGATACATTCTAACTCATTTGAGATTTTTTTGATAACACCAAATTTCAAAAGGCAAGTGGCCAAAGTCACCTCCCCCCACAAGGCCCCTAGGCAAATTTATCCCCCTCACATAGCTATTAGCACTGAATACTCATCACATCACAAAAGTTCCTATAACACCAGCCTCTTAGGGAATGGCCAGGTGGGGTGCCTAGTAAACCTAAACTCGTGTAACAAAGAAGGGCCATTCAAGTGAGTCTGGGGCCTGATACAGAAGATCAGTTGGTTAAGGGACTTTTAGACATTATCTAGACAGAAACATCTGACACACCCTCTCTCTAAATTAGGAAATTAAAAAAAAAAAAAAAAGCTTCTTCTTCACCAGACACAGCCACTCTTGAGTAAAGCACCTGGGACACCCCTGTCACCCAGAAGTGCTCAGAAATTGTTTGTTCTCTCCCTCCTCCATTCCTTCTTAGCCTGATCGCACCTCTGCATCATTTCAAGCTGAGAACACAGGGCTTTCCAGAAACCTAACTCACTCCAGGAACCAACCATGCATAACCAGCATCCCTCTTGAGACAGGTCCAGGAGTTGATAAAGTGTGCCTTGTTGCCAGCCTGTGCCCCACAAATAAACTCTGTCTGTGAGAAAAGGTGTGGCACCTGCGTTTTTGGAGGTTTAATTTCAAGGAACCACATCATTCATCTGGTTTCACCAACATGTCTAGTTACAAAGCACAAAGGGGCACCTGGGGCATTTCAGTCAGCACCTGGGGCTATCCTCAGACCCCATCTCTGGATTCCAGACCAAGCTCTTTACTAGATTCCCTTGCAGGAATTCCAGGCTTTCCCTAGTGGACCAGAGGCGTGGCATCTCAAATCAGACTTGAATTTCTAAAAGCAAATGACAACTCTCTTGAATTGTTTTGTGTATAGAAGCGAGTTTCCACGTTTCATGGGACACAATGAGGTGCTTAAAACCATATTATTCTTTCAGGTGTTTCATTATTGGCTTTAGACACACATTTCCATTAAAACAGAAAGAAAAACTGAGGCCAATTTGAAAGATATCTTGAAATTTTCCTTATTCCCTCACATTTCCTTAACTGGCCTCATTTTGCTTTAATATTTCCTACAGAAATGCTTTGCTAATGCTCTGAGGCGTGGCTCTGGCATAGCAGTCTTTTGTTTTTTTCTGGAGTCAGCCTTCTCTCACGTAACATTGCATCCCGGCTCCTTGAAATCCCTACTGAATTTGGAGAACTTGTCTCTTGGTGTCTGACGTGCTTTCCTGGAACAGTGTGATGTTGACGACATAGCCCCGTCCCTCCACTTGACAATAAGTTTGCTTGTCTCATTGCCCTTGATTATTCAGTGGTGAGTAAGAAGAGAAGTGGAAAGCCTTTCCTACCCCAGTTTATTATATGTTTCACGCCTAGGCTCTTTTATAATGCCACTTGTGAATAAATTGATCAGATTAGCATGAATCACCTGGCTGGCCAATAGAGACTGGAATGATTCTCCACGTGTGACTTGGTTGCATTATTACAAAATGTGGCAGGATAGACCTGCCCAGCCATCGTTGCTGATGCTCATTTGTAATGCTGTCTTAAGGAGATGAGGCGATGAGAGCAAATTGTTCCAGCAGCTCAGCCTGCCCTGCCAACAGTTCGGAGGAGGAGCTGACTGTGGGACCGGAGGCACATGGGAGCCTGGAACTTGTTTTCACAGTGGTGTCAGCTGTTATGATGGGTCTGCTCATGTTCTCCTTGGGATGCTCTGTGGAGATCCGAAAGCTCTGGTGGCACATCAGGAGACCATGGGGCATTGCTGTGGGACTGCTCTGCCAATTTGGGCTCATGCCTTTGACAGCCTATCTCCTGGCCATCAGCTTCTCTCTGAAGCCAGTCCACGCTATTGCTGTTCTCATCATGGGGTGCTGTCCCGGGGGAACCATCTCGAACATTTTCACCTTCTGGGTTGATGGAGATATGGATCTCAGGTAAGCTACACTAGCTCAGTAGTCCTTCCCTCATCCCACCTGGAGGGGACTTTAGTGTTTGGGTAGAGATTCCAGTGGGGAGGTATTGCAAATATTATGGAGAGTTGATCATGGAAAGGACTCTCCTTTCTGAGCTCCAGGTTGGCTTTGCTGTGATCTTCCTCTGCTTTATTGGCAACTACTGTTCTGAGTAGTGGGATTTGGCTCATATGTTAACAGAGGAGGCTTGTCTCCACCTCACCCAGTGACCCTTCCCAAATGTGCATTTGTTCTCACTCACACTGGCATTTTCACATTTTGGTAGTGCTGAGAATTGAACCCAGGGCTTCATATGTGGTAGACATACCCTCTACCACTCAGCTACACCCCCTGCCTCTATCATGCTCACATCTTTAATGACAATTCCCAGGACGTAGCTGAAAATCCCTAGAAGCTAGTGACAGTGGTTTGGTAGTAGTCATAATGGTGGTGATGGTGGTGACAAGTGGCTTAACCAGAAAGAAGGCCTTGAAGTTCTAACTGGTATTTCCTGAGTACCTACTATGCAAAATAATATTTGGGGGATTACATGAAAGAGCTTGAAGGGGCATCTGGTAGACATGTCCTGCTTAAAATGCCAGTGCTGTCATGTTGATTTGATTTAGGGAGAAGTATGAAGGCTCCCCAAATTAAAATTGTTCTTCCTGGTTGTTTTACAGATGTTTAACATTCCTCAGTAGACTTGAATTCTTTTCATTTAAGCCAATGACCTTATTCCTGGTTATGATACAAATAAATACTCCTTGGAGACATTAAGCTTTACCATCTCTTTATGCTTTAACAAGGAATGAACTTGTTGATTAGGGGAGAAAAGAGTATTTGAAAAAACAATAGACATTGGAAAAAAAGAAGAGCTAAAAACAATGGTCTTTCTAGATTGTTTGTTATTAATAAACCCTCTGTTTTATCTTCTGCTCAGGGAGAGGACTACATATGAATTTAAATCTTTGTTCCATATGTATGCACTTAGATTTACAATACCATGAATGAATGAATCAGAGGTGATGACCGAGATATGGGAGTTGACATCAGTGAGTCACCTGGGTTGGGGTTTCCAGTTTCCTTCATGTGCTGAATGTGTGGTGTATCAAACATATTTCACCTATACATTTTAATGGGTTCTTACCACTCAGACTAGTAATTAACTTTCATATGTCTTTTAGTTACCTACCTAGGAGAGATTTAAAAAAAATAAAACCACTTGATGGATTTTGTATTTTACTGTTAAGCTAATAATGTATCACCAATTCAAATTCAATAAAGTTGATCATTAACTAAAAATGGGATATGATAAATATTCTTTGCCTGAAGTTCACACATCAGTGATAAATTCTAACACCTGAAAGATTTTGGAAGGAAGAAGGAAAGTACTATTGTTAAAAGTACCTCACAGATATGGCATAGATGTATTCATGGATATATTCTCCTCTTGGTCTTCATAATAACCTTGTGAGTGACCTTTCATTATTCTGAATTTTACAGTTGAGAAAATTGTGTTTTGGGTTGGTTAGGTAGCTTGCCAACAGAGAATGGCAGAACACATATTTAAATTCACATCTGTTTTACATCAGTCTGCAATTTGGGCCCTTTCTTTTCCATGACATTTAGCAACATGACTGAATCTTCTGTTTTGAGTGGAAGCATAAATCTTTAAACAGTGTTTTCAAACACTTCTGTTCTGGGAAAGAGAACATTTATTACCTTCATCTCTTATTAGTCAGCATTGTTATAAAAACACCAGTGAATAGGAAGTCTATGAAAGATAAGGCTCATTTTACTTCCTTTTGCCAGCTATGTCCTTAATTAGCTTTTAACTCTGGTCAAATTATTTAACCTATGAAATATACACATGCACACATGTACATACACACAGTGGGTATAAAATAAATATTTAGCTACTTTTCTCCTTTTCTTTCTAAATTGAGGTTTTAATTTTCACAAACAAAACAAAACAAACAAAAACAAAAACACTAAGCTGTAGAAACTGAAAACTTAAAGCAGGGACAAAAAATTAGATTTGTTTTTATTTTTATTTTTTTGGTACCAGGGATTGAACTCAGGGGCACTAGACTACTGAGCCATATCCCTAGCCTTATTTTGTAAGCAACAGTGAGATAGGGTCTCACTGAGTTGCTTAGCACCACGCTTTTGCTGAGGCTGACTTTGAACTCTTGATCCTCCTCCTGCCTCAGCCTCTCAAGCCTCTGGGATTATAGGCATGTAACACCGCTCCCAGCTAGATTTATTTTTAAACTAGATTTTCAAAAGCTTATAGATGCAAAACTAATAAAAATCTTAATGTTTGGCAAAAGTTTCAAATAGGAAAAAATTCAGTATTGTTGAGTGAAAGGATATTCAAGTTCAATGCATTTTTTTTGCATTGACTACCAATAAAAATCACATTCAAGTAAAACTCAGACTCCAAAAGTATTTTTAAAAATTTTTAATTATTTATTTTATTTTATTATTGAATCCAAAAGTATTTAATGCAGCATTTCTTTTTACAAACAAGGAAACTGGGATGAAGCTCTCTATGCTATTCTCCATGTGTTCACCCCAAACAGGCATTTCAGAATCAATAGGCTTGAATTAGTGTCAGATGATGACATAAATCACTTTGTTCCTTTTGTTTGCTCCATCTGCTGCCCAGCCCTGTAGCCCAACTTCTTCCTCTAGTGGTGCTTGCTAGCTGTCCATGCCACAGCTACTTCTCAGTCAGGCCCTGATTCTTTTTTTTTTTTCCTTACCCAAGTACTGTATCCTCACATCTGTTCTCTGTATCAGGTTTCCCAGATATAGTTTTGTACTATAAAGACAAAGCAAGCTCTGAGGGCAGATTTCCTGTATCCAAATTCTGACCACAGGTTTCTTTTCTGTAACTGGAAATTTCAACATGGACCATCATGGCATGGTAAGGAAAAAAATGAACATGTTATAACATAGAGGCCTCTCAATACCTAGTAAACTGGACAGAAATGACAAAGCCCTTCTACCCAGCTGCTTCCCATTGAGCACATTACCCCTTGAGCACAACCCGTCTATCAAAATAGACCAGTCATCGTTCTCTACACACATCCCATTTTTCTGACTTTGATTTGCCCTTGTTGTTCCCATATCCTGGAATGTCGACTGACATTGTTCTAGAAGACTATTGGTATGAAGAGCTTTCGACATTATCCTGCTCCCTGGCTGTTCTCAGCTGGGTTCTTCTGCATGTTTGGGGATTGGTTAAATATACAGTGGTCTTGGATGGCCTCAGCTGGCACAACTGGGTTCCCTTCCACATTGTCTCTCATTTTCCAGCAGGCTAGCTGAAACCAAATCACAAGTTGTTTTTTGTTTGCTTTTTTTTTTTTTTTGTACTGAGGATTGAACCACAGGGCACTTTAACAGTGAGCCATATCTCATTCCTACTCCTTTCTATTTTGAGACAGGCCTCAAACTTTTTAGTTGCTGGGATTATTGGTGTGCTCTAATTATAAGCTCTGAGAAAGGGGATGCATGGAAGATTTTGTGAGGCCTGAGTTTGAATCCAGTTCATCATCAATTTCATCACATCCTATTGGTCCATGTTAACTGCAAGCCCAGCCCAGATTCAAGGAATGGGGAAGTAGGTTTTGATGGATGGTGCTACAACGTAACATTGTAGAGGGCATGGGTAGGGAAGGGCTAAAGATATGGAGACGATTTTTGCCTTACGCCATTCCAGAGATGGACAGGATTGCTGCATTTGAGGAAAGGACATGAAACTAAGATCTGTGTGTGTGTGTTTTGCAGTTACTCAGCCTCACGACAGCCCATGAAGTAGTTATGTTTCTCCTTCTTTTAGAAGGGAGGAAACTGATAAATGAGACCCTGGGTTCAATGCCCAGTACCACCAAAAAGAAAAAAAAGAGTGAGGAAACTAAAGCTTGGAGAATTTACATAATCTGCCTAGGTGGCCAGTCGGTAAGTAATGCATCTGCTCACTGTTTCCAGAATGGTTCATTTAACTACTACTCTGCCCTGCTCTCTTTGAGGTAGGTCTATTCTTTCCTGAAAAGATGTATTTGTACCCTACACTGGAGAGAAAATATTCTGTCCATGGAAGGGAGTGGAGACTGTGGAGTTCAGTGACCAATGTTGCTCACCGAACTTTAAAAAAGTCCTTGGTCATCAGAAAAAAGACCCTGGAAACAGGACTTCAGATTTTTCAAATCTGTCTGACTTGGCCTGGTGGAGAAATGAAAATCTTCTGTGCTTAAGGCTTTGCTGAGAATGAATCCATGGGACTTCATGAATGTTCCTATCACACTCTAAACTTCAGTTTCTTTGTGAATAAAATGGAAATAACACCTACACATACAGTTATTGTGTAGATAAAAAGAGAAAACATCATAAATATGCATGAGGTACAATACAAAGCATGTAGTACTTGATAAATGCTCATTATTATTGCAAGGCAGCAGACATATTTGGGTCTGGAAAACTGGTCCTTAAGCTCTTTTCTAGGGCCAATTCTATCGACATGATTTTTTTTTTCTTTTGCAGTACTGGGAATGGGACCCAGGGCCTCATGAATGGTATGCAAATACCCTACCACAGAATTACATCCCCATTCCTCACCTCATTTTAAATATTATTTTGAGGTAGGGTCTCACCGAGTTGCCCAGGCTGGCCTCAAACTTGTAATCCTCCTGTCTCAGCCTCCTGAGTAGCTGGGATTACAGGTGTGTGCCCATCTCCATGTGATATTATAGCACTCTCCTTGTCCATCTGTTAGTGAGATGACTGTTTTTTTTTTTAGTGGAGAAGCAAGTATGTGTGCTTTCATTTTAAGAGTTAGAGTTCCTGATTTTTTATGGATTTGAAATTAAAGCAACATTTGAATATTTTAAGCTTCATTTGCAAAATGTTTAATCGACACTGCCTTTCAACGGAATGTGTACATATGTAATTTCCCTATTTTAAGGAGATTCAGG